CCTCAGAAAATAAACGATTTATGAAAAGGACGTTGGCATTACGTATGTAAGAATGTCGTTGAACCACCGTTGCTGTGAGTTTTGGAATGCGTGTCGAGCTTTTTGTACGATCGTTGAAACGGTTCTTTGCTGACAACCATGAAAAGCACGATGTTACGCCTCTACTAGCTACACATCTTTCAGATTTCTACAGCTATGATTCGCGCATCGATTAATGAAATCGCGTATAGATAAAAAATCGTATCCAATAAAATGTAATAATGCAATTAATATTTGTGAAATATATATATATTTTTTTTTATAAAAGTTTACTGAAAATTTTCTACATGATTTTCAAAGACAAAAAGACTTTAACAGTCACTTGGCTTTATTTGACATTTATTTTTATTTAAAAAAATTTATTAAAAAATTTTTATTACAAAAAATAATAAGAGAATATCTGAAAAATTAATTATTATCCTCTTTAAAAAAATCTAAATTTTTAAGAATATATAAAAATTTTCTTCTACATGATTTTCAATGCCAAAAAAACTTTAACAATCACTTGGCTTTATTTGACATTTATTTTTATTAAAAAATTTATTAAAAAATTTTTATTACAAAAAATAAGAGAATATCTGAAAAATTAATTATTATTCTCTTTAAAAAAATCTAATTTTTAAGAATATATAAAAATTTTCTTCTACATGATTTTCAATGCCAAAAAGACTTTAACAATCACTTGGCTTCATTTGATATTTATTTTTATTAAAAAATTTTTATCACAAAAAATAATAGAATAGAGAATATCTGAAAAATTAATTAATTATTCTCTTAAAAAAATCTAAAATTTTAAGAATATATGATTTTGCATGCCAAAACTCGCGACACGATATTGTTGCAAAAACATGTTGAAAATGACACGATCCTTACGTACTACGAGCGTTTTACCGTTTATTTGGCAATATATGTAATGCCTCGATAGAGTAATTCGATAATTAAGAATGTGCGAGCTACTGCGTTTGTGGTGAAACACAGCCGACCTGCGTACATACATTCTCTTATACGGTTGTAGAAAATAATTCCGGTAGTGAGTAGTTTAATTACTCTCGGATACGCAATAGCGTTTTCTAAAGGAAAGGTACGCGGGAGTGAGATTCATCGTGCAAAAAAAAAGGGTAACGCGAATAAAAATAGAAATGACGATTGTATAAAGGCGCAATATTTTTTTCCAAGCGAGAAATTTAAGTAAAAGCATTTTTCCACAATTTTATACTCTCTCTTACTCGAGATAAAAAGTCGCAGAAAGAAAAAGAAAAATAGAAATTTAATTGCCGCGAAAATAATTGAAATAAGTAAGAGAAAAATTTAATTACCGTGCGTATTAATTGCATAATCCTTTCTGCTTGATAAGCATACTTATTGGCTAACGGATATTCTATCGCCTACTTAGTCGGTCGAACAAAGTTCTCGGGTCAGGCGAGACAGAACTTTCGCCTACATACACTCTCGGTGCGTAGTACTATGTCCTGGATACGGCCTGATCACGTGCAAACACGTGTATGGTTCGACCAAGTAACAGCAGTTTTCCCCACACGTTGAAAATTAAATCCGTAAAAAAAAATAAAGAGAAAATTCCCAGATGGTATAATTTCTTAGAGACAGTCGCGCGTAATTATTCACGTTTGACAGAATTAGGTAAAATCTAATTAACTTCCATCATCTGGTGTCATGAAACATGATAGAAAAAATGTCTGCAATCTGAGCGATCTTAATTTTAATAATAATAATTTTAGCTACAGGATGATAAGACAAACCTGAAAATTTTTTTAGGGTTTTGTTTCAACATGTTTGCGACCAAAGTGCGAAGATCAACAAGCAAAAAAATAATTTGATGACTATCAGAAGTCTGTGTTCTTCTAGTTTGAAACTGATTCGACTATATTGAAACAAATCCTTTAAACGCTACATAAAAAATAAAGGATAATATTGTAAAATAAAGGATATTTTAAAAATAAAGGACAAAATTGAATTTTAGTAAAGCGAATAAATCTACTTGAAATAAAGAACTGTCCTCTAAAATACAAAAGGATGGATACTCACCGTAGCTATAAAACAGGGTTGGATAATAACTAGTTAAAAGTTAAAAAAGAAGTTAAAAAATTAATAACTTTTAACTTAGCTTAGTTAATTTAAAATGTATTAATTTTTAACTTCAACAAGTTATTTTTGACCTTAAACTTATTAACTTTTTTCCTAAGCTAAATTTTTTTATCTCTGACCACTATTATTATTTTTTTTTTATAAATTATAAACGTATTATTTTTAAATTAAAGTATTATTAATTTTTATGTTCACTTGTCATCAATTGTAATTACCAAAAAATATATTTCTATATGAAAATCAAAATTTCTTTGTCATTTGCTATTATATATTTTAAAAGAATTGACAAACAAAATTCTAATTTAATATAAATAATATTTTTAAAAATTAACTTTAACTGAGTTAATTTTTTGTTCATAAAACTTTTAACTTGACTAAATTAATTTTATAAGCAACTAACTTTAACTTAACTTAGTTTAAAAAAATCATTAACTTACCCAACTCTGATTTTTCAGATATTTTCTCTACCTTATTAATTTTAAAATAAAAAGAAATGTCAAACGAAGCCGAGTGATTGTTAAAGTCTTTTCGTCATTGAAAATCATATAGAAAATTTTCAGTAAACTTTTATGGAAAAAAAGTATATTTCACAAATATTAATTGCATTATTGCATTTTATTTGATACGATTAACTCGAACTGAATTAATTTTTTGTTCACGCAACTTTTAACTTAACTAAATTATAATTTCATAAGCAACTAACTTTAACTTAGTTTAAAAAAATCTCAACTTACCCAACCCTGATAATAATAATTTTGCAGGACAGTTTAGAGCTGGAAAAGCTGTCCTAAAAAAAAGTACCTCAATCGCGCCTTATTCGTCCAACTTTCTGTTTGATGACGAATGCAGCGCGGTTGATAGACAGTGCACAAGTGCTCATGAAAGTTATTTTTCTCAGGTCGTCCGCGGAGATACGTCGATACATACATTCACCTTGGCACACATTCGCCTAAATCCGCGTTTAGAAAAGTTGCGAACCAAATCCGATCCGCGCATCCGACTCTATTGTGGCGAAAATGTTATCGCGACTGCAATTAGGAGGCAACCGCGAAAACAATGCTTATCAGTGAATGGCATTACCTAATGTTTAATTGTTCATTACGTTACTCAGCACAATGTATGCACAACGATTAATGTATGTCATTGTTTTCATAGCGCATTGTGTGTGCTTAGAACACCAATATTTAGATAAAGCTTATCTCTTCCTTTTTTTCCTTCACGCATCAAAAATAGTGTACAATATTAAAATATTAAAATATCGTGTAAAATATTAAAACATCGTCTTGCAACACGAATTTTCTATAAGAGAAACAGATCAAGATTGTGAAATTGTTATTTAATCGCGATAAAAGCTGGAAACATTTTTAATAAAAATATAGGGAAAATTTGTAACACTTCAATTAAACATATATTTTATATTTAATTCGCGTGTCCTAAAATAAAATTGATATTGTAATAAGACTTTCTTTTGCACATGTAATAATTATCGTATCATTCTGGTTATCAAAACTCACCAGATACTAGACCTTGAATATGGAAGCTGTTTGTCCCCTAGAAGGCAGGAAATAAAAATCAGTATTATCGTTGCTTTGTTCCGTTCAGTGGAAGAAGGAATAGTCAAATGAAAGGACTCGTCAGTATCTCGCTCGTTTCGTTCTGTGACGCATATCATTGTAAAATATTAAATATCAAGAAATGTCAAATTAGTAAGATTATTCAGAATTATTATTTTCAGTTTAAAATCTTTAAAGATAATAAATTCCCGTAAACCCGAATAAAAAAATATCAAAGTTAGATGACCAGAAGCAGCCACTACAATTAAATTCGCTTCTAGAAAAAGTGAAAGAATAAAGAGTGCGACTGATTTCATCTAATTAGCACAAGAAATCTGAAGACTCGAGATCGAATAAATCTCAACGCGAGATGACGAAGACTGCTCGCTATTCGACTTTCAAGGCGTCCCCAGTCCGACACTCCTGGATCATCAGAAGAATCGCGCAACCTTTCGCTTCGCATTGGCTACTATTGTGCTGTTGCGATTCTTGCTCCACGGAACAGAAGATAACTTCAGAATCGGACGGGGAAAAAATCCCGACTTCGTCGATCGGCTCTGCGGAATCGGAAGATGACGGCAATGAACTCGTGATGGAGGAAATTCTCCTGCACGATCGTGGGGTATCAAAAAATGACGTGACGCAGAACGAGGACGGCACTTTGTTGATAAACCGCAAAAACGGTTCCTCGGATTCCAAGTCCCCGTCAGGTAGCGGAGCTCTGACCAGCGGAATGAAACGCGTGATCAACAATCTGCCGGGACTTCCAAGGAAGGAGAAGAAATCACCGTCACCTAACAGAGGAGACGACAAAAATGTCTCGGAAAGCGATTCAGAAATGGGACATTCTGTCAGTATCTTCGCCAAGTGTTCCAAACGATACGGGCAGCAAAAAGCGAATGTTCCTCAATTAATAATAAGTTAGCTGAAAAACAATTTAAATAATAATTGAAGACTGTCGTATGCTTTAAAAAAATTTTAATCGCAAATTAGAGAAAAATTTAAAACGTCAAAAGAATCTTTCGAATTAAAAATTATTATTACATATTATATTTTATATTCTAGAGTTATATTTTTTATATACAGGGGTGAGTCTTTTTAACAGGCATATATATATATATATACTCTAAACTCTAGAATATTTTTTAATGTTCAGGAATTTAGCAAAATCTATGAGTCTTGTGTTGACGAAAAGTTTTCATGAAGATCCTGTCTCTTGAAAATTTTTATCATCCATTTTTTTTGACAATTGAAACGAACTGTATCAATTTGAGTAACCGAGCGTTTCCTCTGGTGATGTCACAGATGATGGAAGCAGCTTGTCAGAGGCATGCAGCACACCGATTATCGGAGCAGGATCACGAGCAGGATCTAGTCATACAGTGATAGACATGGACGATATGGATCCGAGCCATCTCGCTACTCGCTCGTCTCTGTCGAGTCTTGGAGTAAGTGTAAAATTTGTCATTCTCCTCTATCATCGGACAATTGCAGTTGCATCTCGCTGCAGTACATTGCACTTGTCATTCCCATCAGCTTTCGGAAGAGAGAAATTGCGTATCCATTATTGCACTTTAACGCGGAACAAATTGCGGCTTTAAACCTCGTTCAGAGAGAAAAATAAATGGCTTTCGCTAGGAGTCTCTTGAAAATCTTTACCATTCCTAATTTTCACAATTCCAGGCACGCTCGGACTCGATGGCGTCGGTATACAGCGGTGCGGGCGAGGGACGTTGCTGTCGATCCGTGGTCGTCACGGGCGAGGTGGAGTTTGCCTTACAGTACGACTATAAGAATCTGACGTTTGAGGTGCACGTGACCAAGTGCAAGAACCTCGCGCCCGTCGACGTGAAGCGCAAACGATCGGATCCGTAAGTATTTCTACTTCATTTTCTCGATTTCTCCTCTTTTATTCTCCTATTTCATTTCATTTCTCCATTGAATTTAAATAGAGGAAATATATTTTATTACATGCTTTCTTTTTATAAAAATACAAAATAAAATTATTTATTAGATCTCTTTATAATTCATCTTCTTCGCGAAATGCTCTTTTTCTTGTGAAACAAAATTAATATTTGCACTTAATTTGTTTGTCGATTTCCTCCTTATTTTCCTATTTTTTTTTTTTTAAATTCTCCATTTAATTGAAATAGAGTAAATATTATAATATTAAATACTTTTGATGAAAATAAAAAAAATATAATTATTTATCCTCTTTATAATTCATGAAATGCTCGTTTTTGCTTATAATATAAACATGGTAGAAAATAAATACAGTATTTAACTTCTGACAATCTTCTTCCAGGTACGTCAAGGTATATCTCTTGCCGGACAAGTCGAAGAGTGGCAAGAGGAAGACAAAGGTGAAGAAGCACACGTTGAATCCGGAATTCAACGAGACGTTAAAGGTAAGTTGTTAGAGTCCAAGTCCCCGGATGTTCGTTGTATCGTTTGCATGACAATTCTCGGTGGTTCTCGTCATCGCGCGGTTTTAGTTCCATATGAGCCTGAGCGGCCTGGAGACGAGAACGCTATGGTTGACGGTCTGGCACTCGGACATGTTCGGTCGCAACGACTTCCTCGGCGAGGTGCGAATGCCCCTGGAGAACAAGATATTCGACGACCCGGCGCCACACTGGTATCCCCTACAAGAGAGGGTGAGTTTTACCGCCCAATCATAATCACGCGGAATGTTAGCGAAGAATTGTAGAAGTTATTTTTCGTCTCGGTGTGAAAGAACCGTTCTTTCGGAGATTGATTAGATATTCGAAAGTTAGAGTCATCGCTCGCCTCCGAATGAAGTAAGTCTCTTGGACGTCAATGTGCATTCAATGGATTGCATCATCGTGCAATATTTAACAGATTGCTTCACTGTGCAGCATTTAGAGTCGTTATTCCTTCCTTTCTTTCCGTTGAGGCTGCTACTTCGGAGCTTCTTATTACAATGCTTTCGATGTATTTTGACACGAGCGCATGTAAATGCAAATTGTATTCGAATATTTTTATGACTAGATATAAATATTTTATATCATTTAATATTTTAAATCACATTATTTCTTTAAACTAAGATTATATTAGTTAATATTCTCTACTCTTAAAAAAAAGAATTAAAGAATTATATACACATATATACTATATCGTGGAATTCTCGTCTTTGAATAATGTATAGTTTTGATAATATACTAGAAATATAAAAATATATAAGAAAACAGGTATATATTTATAATTAAAAATAAATGAATTAAAATTTTCTCTGTACTTGGTATTTTTTTTGGGGGCTGTTCACTTGAGAATTTCAGCAGAGAAAACTAAAACCGATTCTCGAGAAACTAAAGAACCAATGCAGATAATTATTGACTCGCAGACGGAACCGTTCGATGATCCGGTTGCATACAAGGGCGAGGTGATTGTCGGCCTGAAATTCGTGCCGCCGGATCCGGCGCAGCAAGAACGCGATCGAGAGAGCGGCGTGGAACGTGGAAGTTCCAAGGCGAGGAAAAACTGGAGCCGCGGCGCTCTCCACGTGCTTGTCAAGGAGGCCAGAAACCTGCAAACGCGCGGCAAGAATTCAGGCACCTGCGATCCCTTTTGCAAAAGGTATTCTCTCCATTTTTTTTACTTTGAACAGTTTAATATATTCCTGTCAAGATATGAAAAATATATAATTTATAAAACTTGAGCACTTTTTTTATTAATTTGTATAGAAAATAATTTTCCTTAATGTATCATTTTTTCATCTGAATTATGAATTGTAAAAATTTTTTTAAATTTTCTCACAATCTCGATACACAATTTTTCGATCTCTTTTGCAAAAGGTATTCTTTCCATTTTTTTTTACTTTGAACAGTTTAATATATTTCTGTCAAGATATGTTGAAAAATATATAATTTATAAAAGTTGAGCACTTTTTTTATTAATTTGTATAGAAAATAATTTTCCTTAATGTATCATTTTTTCATCTGAATTATGAATTGTAAAAATTTTTTTAAATTTTCTCACAATCTCGATACACAATTTTTCGATCTCTTTTGCAAAAGGTATTCTTTCCATTTTTTTTTACTTTGAACAGTTTAATATATTTCTGTCAAGATATGTTGAAAAATATATAATTTATAAAAGTTGAGCACTTTTTTTATTAATTTGTATAGAAAATAATTTTCCTTAATGTATCATTTTTTCATCTGAATTATGAATTGTAAAAATTTTTTTAAATTTTCTCACAATCTCGATACACAATTTTTCGATCTCTTTTGCAAAAGGTATTCTCCCCATTTTTTTTTACTTTGAACAGTTTAATATATTTCTGTCAAGATATGAAAAATATATAATTTATAAAAGTTGAGCACTTTTTTTATTAATTTGTATAGAAAATAATTTTCCTTAATGTATCATTTTTTCATCTGAATTATGAATTGTAAAAATTTTTTTAAATTTTCTCACAATCTCGATACACAATTTTTCGATCTCTTTTGCAAAAGGTATTCTCCCCATTTTTTTTTTACTTTGAACAGTTTAATATATTTCTGTCAAGATATGAAAAATATATAATTTATAAAAGTTGAGCACTTTTTTTATTAATTTGTATAGAAAATAATTTTCCTTAATGTATCATTTTTTCATCTGAATTATAAATTGTAAAAATTTTTTTTAATTTTCTCACAATCTCGATACACAATTTTTCGATCTCTTTTGCAAAAGGTATTCTCTCCATTTTTTTTTACTTTGAACAGTTTAATATATTTCTGTCAAGATATGTTGAAAAATATATAATTTATAAAAGTTGAGCACTTTTTTTATTAATTTGTATAGAAAATAATTTTCCTTAATGTATCATTTTTTCATCTGAATTATGAATTGTAAAAAATTTTCTCACAATCTCGATACACAATTTTTCGATCTCTTTTGCAAAAGGTATTTTCTCCATTTTTTTTTACTTTGAACAGTTTAATATATTTCTGTCAAGGTATGTTGAAAAATATATAATTTATAAAAGTGGAGCACTTTTTTTTATTAATTTGTATAGAAAATAATTTTCCTTAATGTATCATTTTTTCATCTGAATTATGAATTGTAAAAATTTTTTTAAATTTTCTCACAATCTCGATACACAATTTTTCGATCTCTTTTGCAAAAGGTATTCTCCCCATTTTTTTTTTACTTTGAACAGTTTAATATATTTCTGTCAAGATATGAAAAATATATAATTTATAAAAGTTGAGCACTTTTTTTATTAATTTGTATAGAAAATAATTTTCCTTAATGTATCATTTTTTCATCTGAATTATAAATTGTAAAAATTTTAGAAGATTTTCTCACAATTTCAATACACATTTTTTCAGCTATTTGCTTCCCGACAAAGGCCGATCTGGTAAGCAAAAGACCGGCGTCGTTCGTAGATCTGGTGGTTCGCCAGTTTGGGGACACACGTTTATCTACAAGGACGTCAGTTTGCAAGAATTAGCAGAACGTGGATTGGAATTAACAGTCTGGGATCACGATCGAATCGCCAGCAACGAATTCCTCGGCGGGGTTCGATTTAATCTCGGCACTGGTATATATATATCTATATATTGTATACATATACAAAAACTACATGATTTAATTATGGAAATATAATTTTTTGCCATTCGATCCGGTTTTTATATTTCAAAGATTTGCTGAAAATTCTTTTTTGCATTTGACACAAATGTTCATTTTGATTTTCCTTTCAGGGAAGCATTATGGGAAACCGGTGGATTGGATGGACGCGACCGGTCGCGAATTATCTCTGTGGCAGAACATGCTGGAGAGACCGAACTTTTGGGTCGAGGGTGCAGTGACGTTGAGGCCAAATTTGCACAATCACGGGAAGAGCAACGGCTCTTAAAAGCAGCAACGAAACGCGAATCATTTCCGAGAAAGAGAGGAAAGTCCGATCCGGAAGTGCTGATTTAGTCCAAGTCGATTATTGTACATAGCTCTAAAAACGTCGCGCGTTATTCTAAATAATCGTGAATAATAATGAAAAATCAGTGCCTTCGGGAGCAACGTAAACTCGAATTTTTTGAACGAGCCTAGAAAATGTCCTGCGAACTTCCGGTCCGCTGCGAAGATCATCATCAATTCAGTATATCATTTTTTGTCGCGATTCTGAATTCTTTTTTATATAATCTAGTATAATAATTATGTAATTATGTAATCTTTTGGGTTTTTCGTTTATTCTTATTTCGCGTTATTATTTTCTATATAAATCATTTTCATATAAAAGTTTCATAAAATTTCTATTATATATGATTTCTGATAATCACATTGTACATAACAAATGATTGCTTTCTTGATTTCTTTTTAGCAATATGTTTTATTTTTATTTTATTACCACATTTTGATAATTCTATTAAAAGAATCTTATTTCTTGATGAAAATTAGACAATTCATTTGTTCTTATAAGTCACTTTTCCTTGATTCATTTAGCGATAAAAATTCTAAAAGAATTGATTATACATTAGACTGTTTTGCTATTTCCTACTTGTGTATTTTTTCATTGTATCTTCCTTTATGCAAAGCCGGAATTCGTAACAACTACATTAAATAACATAATTGACGTGCCAAACTTGAAAAGTTGTGGCGAATTCATGCTGCGATTAATTTCCTTAATATTTATATATTTTTCAAGTTGAAGTTATACATTATTAGATAACTACTTGGCTAGTTTCGATGTTATTGTGTCTTAAAAAATACTATTTAATTTCATAATTCAAAAGTTTCCTTTCTTTGCAAATTCTTATCAAAATCAAAACGAGATATATTTTGTTTTCTATTTGGAAGCTGCTGCACGTTATATATTTTTCCTTATTATTTTCGATTGTAATTATTATGAAGGGAGAATGAATTCCTAGATAAATATATACAAACTATGCAATTAATCTCGTGCAATATTATAAATCATCGATATTCTTGAAAAAATATTTTTAGGTTCTTAAAAAATCCCGAAACGGGAATTTAGGAGCAAAAGTTCGTCCGTCCAAACATTTGGCGGAATGATTGTCAGCATCTACGGATATGTATGTAGTAAATTCTTCGCTATTCGCGAATAAATAAATTAGAAATGAATAAGTTCTCGTTAAGTTCTAAACGTTGAATTGCGAAGCGTTTCCAAAATTCTATCTCATAGAAAAGATATCTGAAAAATGATTTGACGTTACATAAAAATAATTAAAAATTTTGTACAACTACGAAAAAATACAAAAAAATATATTATGTTATATAAATTATAGCATATTGCAAATATATACGAAAAATTGTAAAAGGCAAATGAACGTAAGAGCCGCATTACGTTTTTATATTTTGAGATCATTAATTTTAAAATTTTGATTATAAAAATTTGATTGACATCATATAGAGAATCACATATATAACAAAATGATATTCTTGATGCACACTAAGAAGAATCATTTTTCTCTAATTTGGTAAAATAATTAAAACTTATACATATTAAACAGATTACGTATCATTATTGGTTTTTTAAAATATATATGTGTAAAATGTTCACTAATCGTAAAATGATGATTTATTTGTACAGATATTTGAAGCAGAGATGTTCGCTAAATTTTTAGATCTTTTGAAAAGACAGAGGTCACAAATTTAAACGATCTCATCATATATGCATTCTGTTTGACGAAAAGCAAAATGGAATGTTAAAAATCGCCTTTCATTAACAAAATACTGAATTGTTGCGACAAAAAGATAATAATTCATATAGAAGATTCAAGTATTTCATAAAAAAAAAACAGAATACGTTTTCTTTGTCCATTTGCTGCAAGTAAATTATTCGAAACGTCTAAGTAAAGAATTCAACTTTTAGAACGTTAGAACTTTGTGGACACTTTCCTTTTTTGAAAAGAAAGATGCTTCCAGCAATAGGTACAATAGGAATGAATGAGTCTTTGAAGCGAGCGAAGGAACGGTGTATTTAAGAGATTTAAATATGACCGCATTCCTTTTTTTTCATAATTTGAGCGCGAACACATTCTCGCATATAGATGTTATATTTATATATACATATACGTATACACAAGAAACTCGCCATTCACATATATGTATATCTAAAAATAAAGAAGTTTGCTTCCGGTAATTTCAGAACGACCGTATTCATAATATATAATAATATGATTACGTTAAATGCGTTCGGTGATCTGTTTTTTGCATCATTCTATGTATTTAGCGTTAAATGTTCTGTGATCCAATATCTGTCTTAAACAGCATTCGATAATTTCATGCACATTTAGCGTTAAATGCGTTGTTAGAGCGTGTTATAAATATGGATCGATGACTCTCGAATGTTGCAACATAAATCGAAGAATTAAACTGATATATATATTCGTACTTATATAAATTGATTTATTATACCTTCGATTATATATTTAGGAGTGTAACATCCTAAATTGTTGCGTGTTATAGTTAGTTATAAGAGTCTCTCTTCCTAAAAACAGGGTTTTAACGAAAGGAAACTATAAAACTGCCTTTAACATTACGTAGGGTTTCAAGTGATGTGCTCCCTGCAAAAAAAATAGATGAATAAAACAAAGTTTAATTTGAATATATTAATTATTTGTCAATCTCTGGCACAAATTCTATAGGTATACATATATTGTCAAAGATATATTTGAAATAGGGAATTTAGTTTAAATATGACTTGATAGAGATAAAAATAATTTATATATTTGACTTATCTCTTTTATGAAATTTAAATAGAATAATTGAAAAAATAACAAAGATAGAAGACTTAAGAAATTATATAAAGCCAAACACTTTGATAGAAGAAATACATGTAAGGAATTCATAGTGTAAGTAAATTAAATTTCCTACAAATTTTTCATTCAGCTATTTTTTGCAGGACCAATATGTGCATGTTAGATTTAAAACTAACACAAATTCTGGAAATATATATACATAATATATATACATATTTAATATTTCGATATTCTCGAAATATTGAATTTAGTGTGGTTGCGATAATTGTACGTCGAACATGTTTACGGACCAATAGCAATAGAAACTCGAAGATATACTTATTACGATAACCCGTTACGTTTTCTATCTCGATAAAATCCCCAAGTTACTCTACGGTATGTAGTCCACTTAGAGCACTTAATTAATATTACAAAATGTAATGTTAAAAAACTTAGAAAATCAGACATTTATTTATATGTCGTTCGTCGGTGTGTATATGATAATAAAAATTTTATACGTTTACTCGTACGCTTTGTGTGATTTATTAATTCTGAGTAAGCACCTTTATAAATGCAAATTAAGCACATATATTATTCGAGAAAAAGATACATGAATCGTTATAGTACATATGAAGAATTGTCGAGTTTATTTAAAAAAAGAGCCCACAAAATTTTTCATATAAATCGTATGTCGTAATATAAAAAGTTATTTTGAAATAGTGCGGCAATTAAATAATTTTAATTACAATATATTCTTTTTTTTTATTAAAATTTTTAATCTCTTATTTCGTAACAAAAAACTGTTTATAAATATATATTATTATTTACACGTATATTGTCTCTTCTTAAAGTAAACTCAATTGATATTAAAATGGTTGTATCAAACAATTACTACCATGTAATTATTATCAAGATATAAGGCTTGAATATATCTTTGCCATCAAAATCGATAATATTGTATATTAATCATGTATATCTCGTATGCGATAAATTGTAATATAACATCGAAATCTAGGAAGAGATATATCTCACATTAATAATTGATAATATTTAATTATGAATCATACTTGACTAGAAGAATCGTTTGATTGGATGTTTTAAGGCCATGCTTAGGGAATATATACTCGTACAATTATTTTATATATTCTGTTTCAATTAGAGGTCGTTATTCGAGATGAATCGGTTGCCTTCCGAATTCTTGCCAGAGTATCGATACTTGCACTTTCCATATGCACCTGGCAAAAGAAAATCTATTAAAAATGTATTTAATGTCCAGTACAAATATTATACTATATAGATTTATTCAGCAATCTTAAAAATCAACGCGTTTTTAAAATTGCATCGCATAAATAATATATATATATTTTTTTAAACAACACATTAATTGAACGATTTGATTTGATTATACGCACCTCTGTGATCCTGAGGATTACGTGACGAGTTTGGCAAGGGTGTGTAATGAATGTTGAAGTATATGTCGTCGAACTCATTTGTGGAGTGCGTCGAGCTAGGTACAGATTTGTGTATCAGCTCCGGGACGAGCCTGATCGTCCTGGAATATTTGCCACGAGCCTTAGCGTCCAGTCTCTCCTGATGAGTGACTTTTCGCGAGTCCAGAAACGAAGACTCGGAGGTAGAGTGTGGATGGCGTAAAGCCTATAACGCTCATAATCATCCTCGTCGGTGGACATCGGATTGGTTAGCTGATCGGGATAGCCAGGATTGCCCAGGAGACTCACGTACTCTATATTAGGACAGCACTCTCGTATTCGCTCGAGGACTCTGTCAATGTTGGATATCTAAGAAAGAAATATCGTTTTTTATTTTTGCAAAAATTCAAAGAGATGCCTTTTAAAAGCTTTTTACATATTTTTAGATATCTGTTTTATTTTTGAAGAAAAATAAAATAAGGTAATTTATATATATACGTTAGAAAAGATTGATAATAAATTAAAAATTTATGTCTTTATATGTTATTGCACTGTTTTTATAAAAAATTGTATTATTATTTTATGATAATAATATTTACATTTTGATTAATTCTAGAAATAGAATGTATACCTTGTTATTGTTTAGACTCAATGTGGTTAAAGTCGGAATGCAAGGCAGCGTTTTGAGATCGTCGAGTTTGTTGTTGTCCAGGACCAATTCCTGAATACATTCGAAATCTTTCAAGCCAGAAACGGTGGTCAGCTCGTTGTAGGAGAGATCCAAACTGAGACAATTATGACCGACGACTCCCACCAATCCATTAGGAATCTTCTCTGCTCTTTGCCCGGTGTACCAAGCCTAAAGTATCAATAGAATAATTAATAAAAATAAAATAAATATAAAGATGAAAATAAAAATATAGACGAATAGAATCATTTTAAAGCCAAATTATTCAAAAATTAGAAACTTAATTATCTAGTTAAATAGTATATTTTATAAATTTTTACTGTAATTTTTATAACATTTTATACAATAATTTTATAAAATGTTACATATAAAAATTATATGAAAACATTTAATTAAAAATTAAATCGCTGGTACTATCTGATTATTTAAACTAATTGTAAATTTACAAAATTCCAGATTTAAATTATTTATAAATCAATCAATCATATTCAATAAAAAAGATAATTATATGGTTAATAATATTTACTCTTTCCGGCTGTATTTCCAAAATTCCTCATATTGTTCAAGTTCGAGCATGCACATATTTACAATAACAAAAAGTGTAAGAGAGTGCAATCAACAAGCGCATATATCCGTTTCAGTCAATACGTATCGTGATATGTGCTCACTGATTAAATGTTATATATTGCACGTAATTAAAATCGTGAGACAATTTTTATAATTACCCGTCCGTTATCAAGCGTCAGAGCACTCCTGTTGAAGTCTTGCTGGCTGTAAGCCGCCATGTTTCATGTTATGTCTCACGCAAGTAAGAGAACATTATCGCGCGGTTAATGACATAGACATTGATAACACTTTGTGCGTATATACACATGCGTGAATATTGTCATAATAAAATTCGATATCTCGTACGCATGATCACATATTCAGCGTGGCTCGTTGGTCTAGGGGTATGATTCTCGCTTAGGGTGCGAGAGGTCCCGGGTTCAAATCCCGGACGAGCCCCATTTTTTTTTTTTTTTAATTATAAACCAACTTTTCAGCCATTAGAAAATATATTACATTAATTATTAATAATAACTATGTTAAAAAGAGTATATTGTTTATTCAATAATATATCATCGATAGTATAAAATTATCATTTTCTTGTAAACTTGTTTTATATTTTATATATAAAATTATAATATTCATTCCTGTTTTAAGCATCATTCTTTAAAAATTGTGTTTATTTTTTAAATTATATGTATTATAAATATATCTCTTTAATATTTCTCGCTTTCAATAGATAATATAATAAAATTCACAACAACGCAAATCCTAATAATATAATTGATATAATCAACAGCCTGATATCTTATGATATAAAATCATTCAAAGTTTTTTTATTCTTCTTTAGTTTATGTATCCTATGAGATGTGCTGCTTATTTTCAAAGTTGAAGTTTTACTGGAAGGTCCTGCTTTCTGATCGCATTCCTTAATATTTGAATATTCTTGCTCACTCAATTTGTCTTGTCTTAGATTTTGTACGAGTTCATCTTTAGAATCATTTTCATCAATCTTTGGAGAATTATTATCACTAAAATAAAAAATATATATATACAATATATACAATAAATATAATATACATATTAGCATATTAAGTACATAATATATCTAAAAACATATATATTGTACCTTGTACTACTCAAAGGTATTTTAGATTCTATTTTCACAAGTGACGTTGGCAAGTTTATTTCATTATAAAAATGAAACATACATTGCAAAGTTTTTACAAAATCAGTTGCAGTCGATGCAGTTGAATCAATGTGAAACAATTCTTCACTGAATGGTTTTGTAGCAATATACTCTATAAAATATTGAATAATGTTTATTTTTAATTTAATTTAATTTTTAGCTGTTTGAGAGAAAAACAATATTACACAACAAATACGTACTTCTAATCAACTCTGCACCTACTGCTTTATATTCCGTGATTTCCTCATCTTTTTGTTTTACCAAATCTAACAGAATCTTGTATCGGCGAACCATTTCCATTGATGTCAAACAGAGAGGCATAGTCACATTTTCCCAAAACTGTTGCGGTGTTTCTTTGAGAAGATGTAATGAGAATTTCAATTTTACAAAATCTTTGTCTTTTCGCAGCTCTATACGATATGTGGAACCATCTACAATGCATGTATTTATATATTTAGGAATATCGTTTAACATATCCATTATCAGTTGTTTCCAGTCAAAAGCTTCAAGACTTAAGAGAGGATTGAATCTCTAAAAAGAAATACATTATATATAAGTTTAAATACTTAAATATTAAAACAAATTATTCTAAGTAAAAAATAATTTTGTTATTAAGAGAGATATATTTTTTTAATATTTCTATATTTTTTGTCTTGTTTGTACTTAATAATGAATAATAGAGATTTTAATGTACATTATGAACAATATATATGCGTAGTAATATTTCACACATAATTATAAAATGAATAACTTTAGTACCTGGAATTTATGAAGTATAGTTTCATCTGTCAGAGTTTCCATCCAAATTTCTGTTAGATTCGTTAAAAGAACTTTCCATAACTCATTTTTCTTCATGAAGCAAATCATATGAGCAGTGTCGTTTATCTTGACATTTTTCCAAACCATATTTTGCTCGCAGCAGTCCGGTATCATATTTATATCGTGATCTAAATAATACAGAACGATAAAATAATTAGATAAAATTTGAAATACAAATGTATGTCAATTTAAATTATATATTGTAAGCAAATATTGGTTATATAACCTGTCAAAGTTTCTTAGAAATTCCTTAACGACATCATAATGCTATTATAATTAATTAAATGCAATGGTATATTTTATAATTAAATATACCATTACATTTAATAAATAGATCTTTGTATCATTTGTTTTTAAATCTAAAATTTCAGACAAATACTCATGTTTATATAAACATCCACTGACATACATGAAATATAGTAAATATACCTAGAGTTGCCATCTCTCATTTCGATGTATCAAAGTGCGATATTACACTGCTATTGGCTGTGCATCAAATCGCATTTCGATATATCGAATATCGATATAAATAAATTCAATTACTTTTATTTCTAATAAATTTGATAATTATGATAAAACATACAATTTTTCCCTTTCTCTTTCTTACATAAAAAAATATTTATTTCTTTTTATCTATATAATAAATTATATTTTCAAATTTACTTGAAAAATGATACATTATTCTGATTATATTCGCACAAAGAAATCAGGAAAGCGGTTAGATATATATAAAAAAAATCAACAGAAGTATTACGAGAAAATATAAATAATAATTTAACAATGATAAAAATTAATTAAATTATTCTCGAATTCTTTCAGCTTTTTCCGAGTTAAATGATTGGCTGAGCGTCATCGCAACCTTCCGGAAATTTCAACACAGACTTCTGTCTAGACGACACTTCCCGCCAATTGGTGAGCACTGTAGGTTTACACTTGCTCATGTAAAAGGAGTCGTGAGATTTATCAGCGCCACGGTCCTTGCACAATCTATCAGACGGCGTGAAATTTTCGGTTTTACATAAAGACCCCTTCGACGTGTTGCCGGATACTTTCTCTCCCTTTGTTATCAGATAATTACGAAGTAATACACCGTCGTATTTCGGCGAAAGTTTGAGAAATTCTTTCACGTAAGCTTTATCAAACTCTGCGCGTGATTTTCTCGTCTTTCTATTTCCTGCCAAAAATAAATATGCATCGAAACAATTCTTATTTATATATTTCTTAATAAATAGTAATTAATAATTATTATTATTTGTTAGTTTAGTATTTAAATTTAATTATTTTTAATTTTTATTTAAAGTTATATTATTTATTTATATATTAATATAATAAAATTGTTTTATATATTATTATTAATAAATGCAATATGCGAATTTTTCTTCGATATATGATTTTTATACATTACCATGCATTTTTCTTTAATAATTTCTTTTTCAGCAAAATTTTTACTGACATCAGTTTTTGATGCTCGATATTTTCTCTGCATATTGTGAAAAAATCTTAATTTTACACAGGGATTTTCAGCCTCACTTATACATTGCGATGTCATTACATGCTTTGATGCTACATGCTGCAATAAAAGCTTCTTGAAGAAAGTTGTAATGACGAGTTTTGACTGTAATTATTAATTCTGTTGCTGATAAAAGCACAAGGATATAAATTAATAAAAAAATATTTAAGGAAGTTACTTCAAAGTTAAATTATTAAATTTTTGTGTACCAATTTTCGAAGAACTTGATCTTTTTTTCTGCATCTCAATGCTAAGTTGTGTAAAATATCTTTGGTGTACGCATTTATCTTTTTCGTGATACTCGATAATTCATCATACTCGAGTTTAAGTTGTCTAACGAGGTAATTCTCAATTCCCGAAATCGATTTATCAGAATCAATCGCATCATTATTTAAAAGATTACAAGATACCCCTACATCCTTGACTAAGATAGCATCTTGAAAATCGTCAGTTTTATTACTTCTGCAACGCGAATCAAGAATCTTTTTTATTCAATTATTTTATCGGAAATAAAATAAAATAATGGAAAGAATAATATATAAAAAATAAAAATAAGAGCGAGAAAGAAAGAACATTAAAAATTTCAAGATTTTATAATAAGTAATAAATTAAAAGGCCAACTTAACTAGCTATAATTAATTAGGTGTTAAATAAATTTTTATTATACGTCATAAAAATAATATTACAAATGATACGTATAATAAAAAATTTATTTAACACCTAATTAATTAGTTCGTTAAGTTGGCCTTTTAATTTATTACTTATTTTAATTTTACACGAGCCGAAATCTATTTTTCATTATATATATTCAAGATTTTAATAAAAAAGTAATATTTTCAATTAAAATCTTTTTGCATCAATTAAAAGTGATATTCTAAATATTTAAATGCTCGGTGTTTGGAAACTAAATAACATGCATTCCGTCATAAGTTTCATCTCTTTACATTCTTAATAAATAAAATTACACCTATAATAAGGAAATCCGCAATAATCGATTTCGTTATGGCTCGTCTTTCGTAAGGTATTATTTTGAATTATTGCGAATTCATTGGGCATAGAATCTTTTGCGACATTTATCGAATTCGATGATACTGTCGAAGCAATCGAGTTTTTATCTTGTCGTGAAGCATTCTTCAAATTTTTTGTACCGGAAATCGCTGAATATTTTTTCCTCGCCGACATAGTACTAGATGCATCGCCCGTTTCCGGGGAGCTAATTGCGCATATCTAGAAAAACAGATTATACTAATTAACAATACGCAATAGACGTACAAATAATTTTATATATACATATATACACTCAATGATTTCATTAATATAATATATTTAAATACGTTATATAAATTTCGTTATTATTATATATATTTAAATGAGTATATATTTTATTAATATTAATAAATAATTCTTATATATTTAAATGACTAATACAAAATTTATTTATACATATATCGTATATTATATGTTATTATTATATATATTTAAATAAGTATATATATTTATTAATATTAATAAATGATTCTAATACATTTAAATGACTAATACAAAATTTATATATACATATATCGTATATTATATGTTACAGTGATAATTACCTAAAAATGTAGCGCGAAAGCAAAGCGAGAGAGGATGTGAGGACAATTACTTATCAACAGATTCATCGATTGAGTCGACCGATTAAAGGATTCATCAATTGTAAGTAATTACCGAGATCCTGAACTTTCTTCGACCCATCACCGAGAAACACAGGCAAGTACCGTAGTCTTTGTGTCTTTGCACTTTAGACGTATCCATCACATTATAATAAAATCGCGATTACACCGATTAATTTTGGAAAACAAAAAGATGGAATTCTTCCTTATTTCGTCCTCTACAACGAGGTTATTTTTATCTCTCAGCAGAGCAATCGAAAATATCGAAATTAATCCTTGGCTGCAATCTATAGACAACTTTGTTTTGTCGCTTGTTTAAGAATCAATATTGTATATGTATATATATAGGGATATTATATATTTTAATGAAATTAAATTAAATTTTAATTAAATTTAATTTAAATTAAATTAAATTATAAACGTAAAAAATGATATTGCATATAAAACCTCAAGAATAAATTATCTTTGTATTAATAAGCACAAATTTTAATTTATAGTATTTAAATAATAAAATAGCAAACGGCTGTCTAAAGAAATAATTAAAATAATAAATAAATTAAATATTTTTTTAGACAGCCATTTACTATTTTATTTTTATTGTATTTAAATACTGTAAATTAAAATTTGTGTTTATCAATAAGAAAATAATTTCTTGCAGCCTAAAGACATATGTTTTATGTAAACAAATGTCAAAAGAAATTGTACTGAAGTCTGAGCGGTCTTCTTTAAATTCTAAATCGTTATGTTTTATTAATTTTATGGCAAATCCGCCATTGAATTGATTGTAAATAAGGAATTCTACGCCATTGGTGGCTCATTTTCTCCGGCCGACAATCGCGATAACGATGATGATGACGGCACTACCAGATCTACATCGTCTTCATGACTTAGGGCCCGTTGATTTTGGCGCATTAAAAGTGAATTTGATACATTAATTAATTAAATAATAAAGTATATAACACAATGATCATATAAAAATATAAAAATTAAATTTTTATATAAGATATACATACAATAAATTAGTTACAACTATATATATTTCTCCACGAACGGTTTTATGCGATTTTCTCAGTTTAATCTCTGAAAACGAGTTTCTCAAGCTTCGCTCTTTTACTATTTCTGACAATTCTCAATAATAATGCAGCGAGAGAATTTTCTCTTAGAATTTACCCTGAAAATCATAGTACTCGTGGGACAATATGGTATTGAAAGAATTTTATAAAACTCTTTTTCTGATTAATATTTACCACAATAAAAATATTAATATCTACCACAATAAGATATAAAATACTCGATTAATTTTACTATGTACATATTAATAGTTTTTATTGCGATAAATATTAATCAGAAAAACATTTATAAAATTCCTCCAACACCATATTATCCCACGAATTTTCAGGGTAAATTCTAAGAGAAAATTCTCTCCGCGTGGTACTTAATTAAAAAAAGATGAAATACGCTTCGGTTTTCAATGTGGCAAACTTTTATCGAATTTTTTGCAATTTTTTCTCCAAGTTCGAAATATATTTTAACTCTTCTGTATCACGTGGGCCCAGCAGGCCCATATTTGTATACATCACTGTACCAGTTCGTCGAGCACAGTCGGAGAACGGGTCGCGACGTCGCGGCCCCACAGTCTTCGGCGTTCGCCAGTCGCTGTCGGATCCGTCTCTCCCCAAGAATTTTCGACGCGCGTCTGACATTTCGCGCGAGAATGTGTAAATCTTAGTGCGGAATTCGTCGTCGAAAAAAATCTGAGAGGCTCGCGCGGATGTTCAGATACATCTGTGTGATCTCTCCGAGAATTATATATCTGTCATCGCGAGATCTTGAGGATTCCTAAGCGGGACCGCGATGTCTTTGGGCATCGCGGCGGGCCCGAGCAAGGGTTTTGAAAAAAATTGAAACATAATTAATTATCGACATCTCGAAAGCTCGATGATTGATAAATATAATATTATTAAATTGGAATATAATATAATATAATTATACGATTAATTAATTACGAGATAATGTCGAAAATATATATATATTGCGCTATATCGATATATTGAAATAATTAACTGGAATGATAAATAAATAAATAACTATTCGAGAATCGAGAGAAAGTAGCGACGATTGGCTGGTTCGCCATCGGACTCCGAGAGAGTTGTAAAGTGTGCGCGAGTGACATTTTCGCTTCTATATATTTATATATATACGAACTAAACTCGCTCCCTGTATAATTCTGTGACGATCGACCGGAACAAAAATTTGCGGAAATGTGTGCGAAAAAATATGCCGCAGCTCGTTCATTTAGTGAAAGCACAGTGATATACTGGAAAAAATAAATTATAAAAAATGCACAGAGAGGAAACAGAACCAGAGCAGAGTCGCGCGATCGTTGAGAAGAATCGTGACACAAATAGATAAATAATAAATATAATCTAGTGATAAGAGGTATGTGTGATGCAAGGATAGCCACTGATTTTATCAGAAACTCTCAAGCGCTTTCTTCATACTGAATAATCATCTTCGCGTGGTTGATCTCGATTTCGATCCTGCTGATATCAAATTGGATTTTCTTCTCCTTCGGAGCACACCATATTTAAGAGTCCGATAATCGGACAATTTGCTTTAATGTGGATCTACGGAGATTAGATGGATAGATCAGATGTCAAGATTAAAGAAGTGCGCGTGCTGTAAATATCTCATAAATATTCGAGAGTGATTCTTGTGAATATATCGAGAGGCGAGTGAGATCGCGGCGAAAATCGGATGAGACGTGTCGAATGGAGTGACGCCGGGATTTCTCGCAAGATCATCATTGTCGTGGATCATCGATGTAGCGCGATGTCGGTCTGGTTGCCTATCGTGGCGACGCTGTGCCTCTGGATGGGCGCTGGTGAGTTCAATGCAAGATATTCCGTCATACGCGCCGGCTGTCAGATTGAGATATATTCAGTCTTAATCATTCTTTTAGAATTAAATTTAAAAAAAAATTTTATTTAAATTTTAGAGAAGAATTTAAATACACGGAGAGAATCTTTCGATATATTTTTATCGCAAGATTCACAAATTTTATACATGTTTGGTGATAAAAAAATTACCATGCTAAAATTATAGCTTAATCATAGATATGATTAAGTTAAGAATTGAAAATATTATGCTGCATCGTAAAATTTATATATGTTATATTTTTAATTAAATATTTTGTATGTTATCTACACTATCGCAGATTAATATATTCAGTCTTAATCATTCTTTTAGAATTAAGTTTAAAACAAAATTTTTATTTAAATTTTAGAGAAGAATTTAAATACACGGAGAGAATTTTTCGATATATTTTTATCGCAAAATTCACAAATTTTATCATATTTGGTAATAAAAAAATTACCATGCTGCATGCTAAAATTATCATGGATGATTAAGTTAAGAATTGAAAATATTATGCTCTGCATCGTAAAATTTATATATGTTATATTTTAAATTAAATAAATTTAAAACACTTAAAGAATCAAGATTTTAATATATTTTAAAATTATAAAATTCTCTCAATATCATATATTACCCCATGATGAATTTCAGGATATATTATTTTCTATGAGAAAATTCTCTCTGTGTATAATTTAAAAAAATTTAAATTTATATTGTGATTAATTTAATTAATTAACATTAAAATAAATGACACTTAACGAATAAAGAATAAAATATTAGTGGAACATTGCAATACATATAAATATCTACGAAATATATAAAGCCAATGTGCTTTAAGATTTCCGCGAAGTCGGAGGATAGCATGAAATCTATGAAACAGTAATTGCGAAATCAGGGATTAAAAAATCGAGAATCTTTCACAAGCATTCCATGAAACCGAAGATATGTCGCTAAGTTGTATCTATAGTTTTTTCTAAATGAAAAACATCCATGATATTCGTGGAATTTCGAAACTATTCTTTTATAGACGCAGTAAACATCTTGGAGCAAGAATCTTTACAATATCCGCGATAATTCTAAACGAGATAAAATTTCGAAATTATATAGATTGATTCATTTTACATTTTCTCTAAATGCATATAATCTTTTAATATTGCACATTGCGCTTTTTATCGGGTCAAAGTATTATATTTAATAAAAGATGAGTTATATAAATACTTTTTTTCTAACATGTTGTGGAGAAAGCCGCGCGCATTCGCATGTATAAAGATATTAGAGTGATCATTATCTAAACACGCGACGTATTTTTTCACCAGAAAGAAAAAGAAAGAGATAATTTTTTATTATTTGCACAAACAGTAGCTGTTTCGAAATGCAAAAATTGCAGAATTATAATTTGATACAGATCTTGCATATATGCTCTCTCCAATAGAAATTGATTATATGCTCTAAAAAGTTTGCTGATCAAACACCTTTTATGCAGCAATAATATCTCACCATGCTTTTACACAGTAACTTATTTGTCTTAACTGTAAATATTCTTAACAAATAAAAATAAATTAATAATAAAGTCCTTTTTAATATTTCTTAAATAAATTTTGTATAAATTCACAATAAAATGTAGAACATTATATTAATTTAATTAAATATTTGACATGTTATTGATATCTTTGTAGTAATATTTTTCTAAAACATGAGTATATAAAATAAATATTTAAATATTATATTAATCTTTAAATTATCATTATTTTTAATTCTAAATACATATTGTAAAACTATTAAAAAATATTAATGAATTATATTCTCTCCCTTTCTTTCTTTCACTTTTTCTCTCCCACCCACTCACTATCAAGAATGATCATTATACAGACATATATAATTGACGGATATCCAGAACACTATTGTGTTTAGTATTTTATATATTAAATTTATTTAAATTTAGAGAAAGATTTGAGCAAGTAGAAAGTCCATATCACAAGAAAGTCTTGAAGGCCTTTCAAAGTCGGCCTTTTGTCAAATCCCTCTTCTTCAACTCAGATAATTGCCGAAGAAAGCCAGGGAGTAATCGATCGCGCGGTAACAGTTGCGACACGATTACGAGAATGTACGTTCGAGTGTAGGAATGCAACAAGAGAAACAGGATGACGGATATTTTGCATGTATAAAACATACCGACAATTGCTTGAACGCTAAAGACTTTAATTAGTCGTGTGCGCAAATAGTTGCAATCGAGTGTCTCGTAATTGCAATTCAATCCTGTAAGATAAGCCCCATTTGCCATTTTAGTTCGCGCAAAAAAATTACAATAAAACAAAGTATCTTTTGAATAAATCGAGACCATTAAGTAATTGAAATATCTTATCGATCGATATGTGTACAATTAATTTACTTATTAAAGTGATAATAGAAATTATTTTTATGAAACGATACTTCCCCATACAGCACAAAATATTATGAATGTTTTCAAAAAATATTTCTAAATATTTCTATAAAATATTGCATAAAAACATTTTAAAATGATTAAAAATTTTTTTGTGATTACATTTTTTATAGAATACTTTAAAAAACTTTTAAAAATATTTTTAAAAATATTCTTTATCGCTCAGATAATATTTTCTTAAATATTTGATACATATTTTTGAATTATTAGTTTAAATCTATATTAAAAAATATTTTTTAAACATGAAAAAGCGGACATAGAAACGTTTTAGAAATATTTTCGAAAATTATTTTATCTTTTAAGAAATATTTTTAAAAGGTTTAAAAATATTTTGTGCTGTATGGGTCTATAATAGATAGTTTTTATATTTTTTTAAGAAAAGACCTTCATATTATTTATTTATTACGTTGCATATCTTGTCAATCCCATATATGTTTGACATGATTAATCTTTCGGAGAATAATTATTAACGGTAGCCAGGAAGCATGCGGTTTTGCGAATAATTATAGCTATACTTCGATACGAGCTCTTCCTCCAGGGCAACCATTAATGACTGAACCGTCTTTCTCAATAAAATGTAGCACCTTACAAATACATAATTTTCTAAATTACTAGCACTTTTTCCTTTTGTTGTCAGTTTTAATTTTATTTACATTTCAATTTTCTATATTGATTAACTTCTAATTTTTTTTCTATTATGTATAGTTTCTTAAATTTTCTTATATCACATTAATATTCTCCTATAATGTTAAGATTCGAAAAATTGATCTATATAAATTTTAGTCCTGGACTCGATCAGAATTTCTCGAGTTACGTGGCTCGAATATTTCAGTATCATTCGAAAGTTCGTATCACAAAATAGTTTGTATAGCACAATTCTCGCCACGCACAGTGCACATACACCGAAAAATAAAAGCACGCACGCACAATCTACGCATGCCAAAAATACCTCATGTAAACTTTTTTGCGTTCTCAGCAGCTGATACTACATGATAAATTCCAGAGAATTTTTCATAAAAATTATTCTAAAATTAAAGAAATTTTCTTGAGCGAAAAAAATGTATCTTACTCAAAAAATACAGTATCGTTGCAAGAATATATTTCTCTTCTTGTAATGTGTCCGATTTGAAAAAAACGGAAGGTAGAGTAAATTAAATGTTTGTAATTTTTACTTTTAATTTTTGGAATTTTTTATAAAAATTATTCTAAAATTAAAGAAATTTTCTTGGGCGAAAAAAAATGTATCTTACTCAAAAATACAGTATCGTTGCAAGAATATATTTCTCTTCTTGTAATGTGTCCGATTTGAAAAAAACGGAAGGTTGGGTAAATTAAATTTTTGTACGAAATCTGTAATGATGTTCGTAAAAGAGTGAACGGTACCGAGAAGATTGAAGGAAATGCGTGCAATTGTGCGAGGACGAACTTTATTCTCAGCACGATAAAGCAGTGACACGATCACAAACTCGTGAGACGCAGGTATTAATACATTGCACCTGGCGGTCGCATAATCGGGACACAGACACTCTGTAAAAACTGACGGTCAGGCTTCACAATGGAGAAGTTCGCCTTGGTTTAATCTGTTTCAAAGGCAAAGGCGAATGTCCGTATTTGAAACAGCTCGAGAAGTAATATAAGTGCGATTGATCGAACTGTGGCCTAAGTTAATGATTTTTTTAAACTACGTTAAGTTAAAGTTAGTTGCTTATAAAATTAATTTAACTAACAAGTTAAATTTAATTTTCTTGGGCGAAAAAAATGTATCTTACTCAAAAAAATACAGTATCGTTGCAAGAAAATATTTCTCTTCTTATGTAATGTGTCCGATTTGAAAAAACGGAAAGTAGAGTGAATTAAATTAACTGAAGTTAAATCAAAAGTTAATTTTTGAAAATATTATTTATATTTAATTAGAATTTTGTTTGTTCATTCTTTTAAAATATATAATAACAAATAACAAAGAACTTTTAATTTTTATATAGAAATATATTTTTTTGATAATTACAGTTGATGACATATGAACATAAAAATTAATAATACTTTAATTTTAAAATAATACGTTCATAACTTATAAAAAAACAATAATGGTGTTTAGAGATAAAAAATTTAACATAGAAAAAAGTTAACAAGTTTAGAAAAAACTAGTTGAAGTTAAAAAAACATTTTAAATTAACTAAGCTAAGTTAAAAGTTATTAACTTTTTAACTTTTTTTAACTCAACTAATTAACTAGTTATTACCCAACCCTGTGTATAATTAATCGAATAATTATTTTTATTGCAAAGAAGTTAGTCTCCAAATAATACTTTTAAAATAATAGAAAATTGCTTTACAAGTGTTTGATAATATACTTAATATAATATATAATTTACATCTGTTATTTATTAATATATTTAGAAGAGATACAGAGAAGTAGAACATATATTTCTCACTTTCTAAGATTTATTATGAAAGTTGAAAAGATGCACAAACTTGGAATAAAAACTGAATGAATTATTTTAGATAGAAATTAAAATGAGAAATAAATAT